ATTAAGAAGACTTGGCTTGACACTTCAAAATATATCTGACAAACTTGGCTTCCCAATAAGACAAGTACAACTTGCGTGTTGTCAAATTGGAGCGTTGGCGTTTGACCTGAAGTGGAATAGAAGGGCGAGAAGAGGTCGGATGGATCGCGAGGGATGACTAAAGATCTACTGGAGATAATTTGGAGAACTAAAGGTTTAAATATGGGTAATATAAGAGTCTAAAGAGTCTAAAGAGTCTAAAGATACGAGCAAATACTAGTGGTGGCTAAAGGTGCTAAAGGTAACTAGAGGTGACTATAGGTGACCAGAGGTGATCCGAAGGTGGTGGTTATGACAGAAGACTAAGCGTGAAGAACTCTATAGCTACAGGCCAAGCCATCATACATATACTTGCTTTCCTCCCACTAGCTCATCATAACATAGGCCCTAAACTAGTGCCAACATAATAACCAATGCCAAGAACTGTTCTGTTGTCATAGCAACATATGAAGAAAGGTAAAATTATATCTTAAAGAAAGGATCGGAAGAGGAATCCTTACACGTGTGCTCGAAAGACTGAGAATCCTATGTCTCGCAAATGACCCTTACCAAAATTAAGCACGGAACAAGATAATGACCTTCAGGCATTCGTCCGGTAGTCTCCTGAAAATCGACAGATGTGCTACTTGGAACTAGCCATGGGGCCCTTCAGCCACTGGGGATGCAGTGAACGTCTAATTTCTAATGCACTCAAAAAAAGAGGTTACAGCAGATGCATTGCTCGGAAGAAGCCTCCAATAAGCGCAGTGAACAAGCAGAAAAAATTGGAGTTCACCCAATTACATTTACATTGGAGCGATGAACAATGGAGTCGCATATTATGGACTGATGAAACCTGGATATTGGATGATTGTCATATGAAATGTCCCGTCACAAGAAAAGTACGTATAAATTCTATCAAAATCTTCCTTGTACTAACAGCAGAGTTCAGCCTGATGATGAGTTTGATGAGACTTGTATTGTGGCTTGTCATGCTCATGGGAGCAGTTGGATGTTTTGGGGATCATTTTACGGATCACAAAAAGGCCCATTCCTAGTCTGGGAGAAGGATTGGGGATCAATGAGGTCTTCATCCTTTTGTGAAAGGATTTTGCCACTTTTGAATCAATTACACATGGAAAATCCAGGAATTCTATACATGCACAACAACGCACTATGTCATAAAGCACACTCAACAACTAAGGCGCTACGTGAGGTTGGAATAACGCCTATTAGATGGCCACTTTAATCTCCGGACCTGAACCCAATTGAGTCACTATGGAACATCTTAAAAAACCACATTCAGGTAAATAGTCCAGAGATAAATGGGGTCAGGCTTGTGCGCTCTACCACGTTGAAAACATTGTTGCAGGCCGCATGGGACTCTATACCTTCAGAGGAGCTATTGTCACTAGTTGGCAGCATGCACGAAAGATGTGTAGCAGTGTTAAAGGCAAATGGAGGGTACACAAAGTATTAGGATGGAGAAGACACACAAAATATTTAGTACGCTTTCATTTTAGTTGCGAGCCATACTGAGGGCTTCGATGTAGAATTTTCTAATATAGAGCAATAATTTTTGAAATAGATGTGCAATTTTAGAGAATATCAAATGACTTTTTTCAATTTTGAATTTCAACTGAGGACCATTGTACTTTTCCCATTGAGTTCAAAACCATCCCCATAATTTAGACTTTCACGGAATGTCATTGGAAAGTAACCCTTGCGTGCATAACTAGTCGAATAAATAGACATGGGCCTGCATGAAGATCTTACCAATTAAGGCAATATGTACAGGGATCAAACCCCAGTCATTTTGACAATTTTACCTTTGCCATCCATAAGAGACTGTATGTGTTGAACCATGACAAATTTGGCAGCCCAGAATTGAAAACAAAACAAAAACTTTCCCGCAAAATCCCGCATTACAAAAGAAAAACTTCAACAATCTCCCTTCTCTCGTTCCGCCTCAGCCACCACGCGCCTGAGCCTCGATTCCAATCTCTCTGTCCATGCCAAACCACCTAGGCCTTTTGTGGAAACTCGAGGGACAAAAGACGATTGGAGAGTGGTCAAAAGCTGGCGTGGACTCAAATCATAAGATTCTAAACTAAAGAGAAAAGTACCTAGGAGGATATGAATCTGTATATATTTACATAGGAGTTCAACTGTTGAAATAGAGTTGCCAACACGAAACTTCCTGTCCCTCATTGCCTGCAACCCAAGGGTTTTGCATGAAAACCAATATCCATGACAAACCTTTCATATCGTGATTTGTCACACACAAGACTCGTGTGTGTGAAACTAGTCGTTGGAATTCCTGGATTGACCCTGTGTCGGCTTACCAACTATTGAACCGACGGCCACGTGGCCACTGAAATGTCGGGGCGTCACACCTTTGATCTATCACCTCAGAGTCACAGGTATCCCTGCAATCCCCCGACTAGCCTCTGCATATATTCCACTCTCCTGGATGTAGTCCCTGAACAGCTGCCATCCCCTTGATCCAAGCATTGTTTCCAGAGCCGGCGCCCTACGCTTTCCGCTGGCAGACAGCTGGTAAGACTCTTTTGTAATTTCTAGGTGTTGCAGTGCGCGCTAGAGCGTCGGGTAGTTCTGTAGGGACTGGGCCGTCCAGCACGTGACAGTAGTCACGAGCTGTGGACAGGCACGACGTTAAATTGAAGCAAATCAAATCAAATAAATAGGGCTCTTTAGTCAACATTTACAATGCAATACCGTGTCCCACATATCTTTCTTGAAAAAACCATACATCTCATTATAATTTTTCTCACTCAAATCTTCCTGTCTACAATCTCAAATAAGCCTTACTGTATCAGTCTAATCGCCGACTCTGACTCCCCCCTTAACTATATCTTAGCTCAAGCTTGTAGCCTCAACACATTTGTTGTGGTACTTGTATTCATGAGTGAAGAAGGCATCCTTGAACAATCAAAGTTTTTGAAAGGTTCCTTTGGTAGTTACTCACAGAGGAGGCTCGACTGTTTGTGTTGCTTACACCCTTCACAATACTATTTAAAAATGAAATCCATGGCTAAAGTGTCTCAGGAGCTAGCAGAGTCGGCCAACACGTATCCACAGCACTGAGCATATGTTATAGCTGGATAGCTGAATGTATATTCAACAGCTAAAATTAATAGCAAGTAGAGGGAGCTTACGCCTCTTAAAGCTGAGCGCGTACCATATGTTTCTTTACAGAGACGCAGTAGCAAGACTGACTAGATTTGAACCACAGAACAGAAGGCCAGAGAGCCTCTGATGTAGATTCTTTCTTTTTCTTCCCGTTTTCCTGTAATCACCATCTATGGATCATGGGGACCGGCAAGAGTCTGACGCTCATGTATATTTGAATCTTCGAGTGCAGGATGATTAGGTCCTTACCTTCTATTGCTGTGTTGGGTCTGTGAAGGCCCCAACACGTCGTGTAGTTTCATTTAGACTAGGCTAACCGGTGCGTGAAGATTACATATGCTGTACGCGGGCACGATGTCAATTGATACGATAAGGAATTGTAGAGTTTCTGTTGGAAAATAAACTCTGTACGATATTATATGGATAAATATGATGAAGTAAAGAAGACTTGATATTTTACAACTATGGGAACATTGGACTTTTGTATACATCTAAGGGAGAAATTCCCGCTAGTCTCATGTGCCTGTCAAACCTATTGATGACCATCCACTTCTCATTTACCATGATGAGCCAAGGTACACTGTAGTACGTAAATATCCAAACGTATATGCAATAGTAGGCGCGATTAGCGCACTCGTGACATGTGTAGAGAGAGTCGATCTTGTGGGGAACCTGAGACGAAACAGGTAGTGGTTGAGTCCTAAATTCGAGAGTCAGAATTTCCAACAGTTTCTGATGAGGAGAGATGTGTTTATTGGACTACTTGAGTCTATGACTATCTAGCACATTGGGCTCCTCTCTGGCCCAGGCCGCACCTTGTACAGCGCTCCTATACTCTTTTGTTACTTGAAAGATCATTGATATATTCCCCTCGATGAATAGCCATTCAGCTCAGTGTTCACCCATGGAATTCGGCCGCCTTTTCCACAGAACCTTCTACCCAAAAATAATAAAAATGGTAGCAATGGAAACTGTGTGCGCGGGAAAAAGTCTCAAAAAACCTGCAGCCCCAGTCATGCGAGACTTAGACACCGAGACCACATGAGGTGCGCACATTCATCTATATCTCCCTTCTTAGTAACAGTCGGGGCCGACGCAACGTTGTCATAGCTAGATAGCTGAATACAATATGATTCAAAAAAAAAAAAAAAAAAAAAGTCGGGGCCGACTTGATCCAATCCACCATCTCCGTATCGGGTGCTGGGTACGCTCCGGAAACTCATCGGATGGCATCTCCTCCATGATCAAGGGTTGGTGATGAGTAGGGCTCCGACCCTATCATCTGATCTTGGTTAGCTTCATGATAATGGTAATAGGGGGGTATTTTGAGAGATGAAGACGATACAGACCGCGAAAGCGATTGGGAATCCTCGACGAAGTGAGGACTTTGTTACTCAATCTCGGCTCTGCAGACTCTACAGTGAAAGCTGGAGGTTCGTAGGGGACACCACTGACAGGTGTTGAGAAAAGTCCTATTCTGGTGAGGAGTCCCCGTGATAATTGATTTGATACATCACAATTAGTCCGTTGCGCTCAAGTTACAAATAAAGAAAACAAATATCTAATCGCAACTATACAAAATGATCAATATTTTGAGCAATACTAATTAAGATATGCCTCAGTATCAAAAGCTCAAAGTTTATAATCGGCGTTCTTCATAATCCTATAGCTCTACATTATATTTGGCTAGAGTTAAATATTTTTGGGGATTACCGCTGGCAGACGTGAAGTCTTCATACACCAGTTTTATGAACGTACCGACTGGCCCAACTATCTTATTTGAGATACCCAGACATAATTATATCAAGACGAGCCTACTTTGTTAGAGATTAATTTTTACTTTTTATTCTGCCCATTTCCACGGCTGCTTTTCCCCAGTCTTCGCCATGGTTGTGACTACCCTGTGTAATTCCAGCCCTTTCTTTGGCCTGTTCCTCGTTCAAAACAGTCAAAAGACCAAATATAACAGGCACTTTTGAATCTAGCTGGACTCTCATCAGACCTGATGAAACAGCTTCAGCTATATACTCAAAGTGCATTGTTTCGCCTTTGATCAGGACTCCAATGGCGATGAGAGCATCGAGTTCGGTGAAGTTTTCTCTAGCCTGCCTTTCGACTCTTCCCACAAGTTAGCGTCTTGAGATTTCCAAGTCAGGAGCTAGGCTTCATACAGGGAGCAGGCTATGGGCAACTCCCAACTGCCTGGCACGGATTTGACAATTATATTATGGCGCGCAACACCCGCGTCATCGAGGCTTGACAAGACACCATGCAATAATGGGTCAATTATTGCTGAAGCGTGATAATTAGAGTTTCGCATTGGCTAGTAGTTGCTTTCAAGAGAAGTGAAGAACACGATGAAGGAGGGAAATTAACCATTAGTTATGGCGGAACAGTCATACCTGTATTCCAACGCGCATGTACAACACCTATACGAAGTTCGGACCCATTGAGATCTAGTCGTTTTCCTGGTCCTTTCACTGAAGTCATGACTTTATGCTCTGAAGTTTCGCAGGAGTCTTGTGGCGGGACTACTCGACTTTATCGAAGTGTCTAATGTCGACTGCCAAATTTACAGCTAAAATCCAGGCAGATTTAGGGTTGATAATAAATTATGTGAGACACAAGATTCTAATTTGAGTAGTGGAGACGAATAAACTGATAGATAAGTGCTATTGTTATGGCCTGAATACTCTGGCCTGAGGCAGAACTACCAAAGGGGATATCCAGCCAGCCAACATTAACGAAAGAGATAAATTACAGGGTCATCTCCAAGACCGGCTTTCGGTAATAGCAATCCTGTGCTTGATGAAAGTATCTTTGCATAAATTTGTAAAATGGACTTTGTGGGATGATCAGAATTTAGAATACAGGAAGAGTACATATCTTATTTTCCAGATAAAATATCTGAGGAGATTAACACTTTAATTCAGATACCCTCCTACGATGGATGGTACAAGGACGAGCCGGAGATTGTATTGATGGATTAATTTGATTATAAGAAGCGGAAGAAGTGGCCTGCCCAGATCCTCAGCTTCGCAGTTTGTATTATTCTCTTCTTTTGATCATAATCATCTTTGGTATCTTGCAACCACATTTATCTCTTCTTAATTCTTAACTTCCATTGTGAATCTCGATAATCACCTTGTACACCTCGAAGACGGTAGATCTTACCCCTTTTAGATCGCGCCGCAATAGCAATGATAGATGCAGAGATCTCAGTTTTTTTATCTAGATTTGAATACGGTAAATCATGTGATCCTGGGATAGCTAAGAAGAATTGCATCCGAATCGAAGCCGAAAGCAAACACAGACACATCTACAATCGGCAACTTCACACCAATGTCGGTCTTGTCATTCTCACGAGAGACCTCTACCTTAACCTTTCCACACACCACCTCGCCTCAATGACCGATAAAGGCATCACTCCAATTGCAATTGGGCATTTGCCTCATCAAAAACCGGCCATCACTCACTACAAATTTACGACGCTACGTATACCCGCAAGGAGGACTTCAATTGTCGATGAGTCAACAGCACTCCCCAGAACCCTGGACGGCACAAAAGAAGGCACAAAAGAAGTTGGGCTAAGCTACCATATAGCAATCACGCTCTATCAAGACTTTTCTGAAATTTCAGCACGACCTTCGGGAAGGAGGCTAGAAAGGCAGAGTGGGAATTTCCCGAGGTACCCATCTTAAAGGACGTATATAGAATGTAATATAAGTTAATTGATGTGTAAGTGTTAGACACTGAGGGTCAAATGAAACATGTAAAGTAAAGTTGTATTGATGAAAATCTCTGCTCCTCAACTCCTCTCCAGCAGTGATGCTATATACCCATCTGAAATTATTTCGAGGAGAGATTATCTTCTCCTCGTTTCCCAGAATTACATATGAAATATATTACATGTGTTGAAGATCAAAAGATCTCAAGTCAGAGCTTTGACTATCCTGAACATCCTGATCACCATATCCCTGATGAGATATCAATGCTCGAGTTAGTTAATCCGACAAGATGTGTCATCCCTCTATCCAATGATTCTCATTACCTTATTCAGTAGGTTCTAAGCTATCAGATGTTTGACAGCAAGTTACAGATGTTATTCTAGCTAGTATACATGTTACGGCGTGCGCTAAGGATACTGGAGATCGCCGTCTGCCGAAGGTAAGGTATTAATAACTGTTAGGATTACAGTTGCTAACGAAGGATACTTAGATATGATTCGCTTGGCGACGTGCCAGGTAGTCAAAGATTGTAGAATTATAGAATAGTTGAAAGACACGAAGTCAAGAAGTCGAGTTGACGAGCAGGCAATCAAGGCTGATAACTCAGGGTGAACAAAAGTACGAAGAATGTAACGAATAACGAAAGACTGAGAATATCGGACTGTTAGAGTATACGATTATAATATTATATAAATGCTAACTTGCGAGATCAAGAATCAAAAGAATGAAAGATTGAGAAGCTGGAGAGCTACTATGTGGCAGCTCCAGCTTCCTTAAGTCTAACTCGAGACAGTACTTGAACTCAATTAAGACTATGACAAATGCCGTCATGACGCCAGCCACTCCATCTCTAACTGTAGGAGTTTTCCCAAAACCTTCTCCTATCACCTTTTCCTGAGAACCTTCCCCTTGAAACCTCTTCATGGATGCCTGGCCACAACAATACAACGCTAGAAGGTAATTTAAAAGCTACGACATAAAGTCATGTGACATAAAACAGCGTAAGGCTGACACTTCAACACACTCCTTCAGCCCGAGATTGTTTCATTGTATGTATCACCCTTTACCCAAATTAACACATGGTCATTTTACCTCAAGAATTCTCATATTGAGCAGCTTTATAAATTCTGCGTGCTTAGCTCTATTCAGAGAGTTTGTAAGTCCATCTGCTGCCATCAACTTGGTAGAAATATATCGGGGTAACACTCTACCACTAGTGACGTGGGGGGGACTATTCTCAACACCTGTCAGTGGTGTCCCCTACGAATCTCCAGCTCTCACTGTAGAGTCTGCAGAGCCGAGATAGAGTAACAAAGTCCTCACTTCGCTGAGCATTCCCAGCTTCCTTCGCGTTCTGTATAGTCTTCATCTCTCAAAATACCCCCCTATTACCATTATCATGAAGCTAACCAAGATCAGATGATAGGGTCGGAGCCCTACTCATCACCAGCCCTTGATCATGGAGGAGATGCCATCCGATGAGTTTCCGGAGCGTACCCAGCACCCGATACGGAAATGGTGGATTGGGTCAAGTCGGCCCCGACTGTTACTAAGAAGGGAGATATAGATGAATATGCGCACCTCATGTGGTCTCGGTGTCTAAGTCTCGCATGGCTGGGGCTGCAGGTTTTTTGAGACTTTTTCCCGTGCATACAGTTTCCATTGCTACCTTTTTTTTTTTTTTTGTAGAAGGTTCCGTGGAAAAGGCGGCCGAATTCCATGGGTGAACACCGAGCTGAATGGCTATTCATTACGGGCAATTTGTCAGGCATGTTTGAAGTTACAAAAGAGGATAGGAGCTCAATGTGCTAGATAGTCATAGACTCAAGTAGTACAATAAACACACACACACTCACACGGTTGGAGTGAGTGGGCTGTAGAAAATAACACAGGGTTCGAGGCCGGCTCCACCGGTACTGTACCCATAGCAGGGCGTAGAGCTTTTAAATTAGCCCAGGACTCTAAAAATTCAACAAAACACTTGATAGATCGTGACTACGACTCGTTGCTTATGCTACTCGGTGAATATTAACCGACGCACCTATCATCCAGGCACATACATAAACATTCCATTAAACAAACGTCTAGATCTCATAGAAACAAAATCCCACTCTCCTGTAATTCACACTGGCTCCCATAAGAACGACCGACACTCGGGAGAAACCTACTATAACCCAGGTACTCCACAAAACTCAACTCAAAACAGCATCAAAACCGAAAATTACGAACCCGAATTCCCACCCTTCAGCACGTGCTCAGCCCGCAACGGGCGATGAGACCGCCCAAACCTAGATTAGAATGATGGATCTGGACGATCCCGAAAACAACATTGAAATGTGTAGCCCAGTCGCTACCCTCGACTACGACGACCCTCTCGAGAGCAGCTCCCTCGGAAGCGCTCTTGCTAAAAGTGTCCAGACCGCAACCTTCCGCGTCAAAGAGGCAGAGAATCTGTTCGGCAACATAGTCCACACTATTGATCAGCAGTGCAATGATCTTACACAGAGTAGCCTACCAGATAACCAACGAAAGGCCCTGCTTTTATTCCTCACAGATCTCTCTAATGTTGCTGAAAGCCACTTTTCGGCCTACATCAGCGGGATAATATTGGAGCCCACAGTAACAGCCCCAGGCGAGAACCAAAGAAGACTATCCTCTCAGCTCGCTACCACAACTCACACCTACGCTGGAGCAGCACACCACGCAGCGCAGGCGCCCCCGCCACAAACCAAATCGGTTAGAGATAGCCAGACCTTGCAGAAAAACTCAACACATCCAAGCGCAACCAAGAAACAACACCAACGCCCAGACGATAGGTTGTTCGTCCGCAAACCAGAGGGAGACAAAGGTAGAAATCTTTCTGCGTACGCAATCCAGACACATCTGGAATCAAAGCTGGGACCTAGCGGCCCGCTCTTGACCAACGTCCAAGCAACTAAGACAGGATTCGCTCTGTGCCCGAAAACCGGCGAATCCACTGCTCTGAAAGAAAAAATTGCTTCAGTGGACCTCATAGGCGATGCAATCATAGAGAGCACAACCCCATGGGTGTCCTTCCGTATTGAAAATGTTCCACGCACCTTTGGGACAATTAACGACAACTTGGAGTACTGCTTAAGGCCAGTAACCCCAGAAGATATCCACGAAGCTTTCTCCACTGCCACAGGTGTAGCCCCAGTCGCCGTCTTACCTTCACAAAATAATGATGCACACCCAAGCTCGTCAGCCACGTCATGGATCGTCCAATTCTCAGAGAGTCAACAACGTCTACCCCGCGTCCTTAACCTATTTGGATGCCGAATAATAACAAAGTCTCTTCCGAGACGACAGTCAGTAATACAATGCACCCGTTGCTGGTTATGGCATAACAGTCGCTCATGCGCATCTCCTGTTAGATGCCGTCTCTGTGGCTCGTCGCAACACACCGAAAGGGAACACAACAACCACTGCGCTGCCCCCGCGGGCCACATATGTCCCCCTCGATGTATTCATTGCCATGGTCCTCACTCAGCTAATGATGCCACCTGTGAACTCCGCCCCAAACCTAATTCACCCCCTAAATCCAAACCGCAAATATCTGCAATCAAGAAAATCAGCTCAGAAGCTCGCCTGCGATACAAAGCAGAAGCTGGCTGTGTAAAGCCCTCACCAGAGATCTCCAATGACACTCAGCAAATCATCTCTACCCCAGCAGTAGATAATCTCCTGTCAGGATCGATACCACAAACTAGACAAAAATCTCCGACAGCGGCACCCCACCCT